AAAAGAACAGATCTGTTTAAAGTTTTCAATCCGTGCATATATATTTCATTGTCATTAATATTTAGGTTTAAATGTTTTTTTTTCTTAATTGATAGAGGCATATGGTTGCTACAAAGGATATATATATATATATATATATATATATATATATATATATAAATTCTTTAAATATAGTTTTATTTTATGAGTCTTGTATAGTACCAGTTAAAAAAATTAAAAATAATACAATTTTATTAGAAATAACGTGAAGATGTATTAGAAATTATGAGGATGAGTATATTTTTATATTTTTAATTAAAAATTACTTTTAATTCTTTAACTAGAATTTCTTAAAGTATTAATTATTTGTTTTATTTTGATTTTAAATTATCTTAGTAAATCCTAAAATTTTTTAAAATGGTTCATGTCACTTCAAAACTCTAATGGAGCAATTTTCATGTATTGCTAAAAATAATTTCTCCCACTTTCTGCATAATTTCACATCATTTTTATGAGCAAACTTTTGTTTAAAATAAAGTAAAATTAAATGTTACTCCATCATGATCCTTATCTACGTCACCATCGAATTTAGATAAAAATACTCTTGCATATGCATGTATAAACTAAATTTATTATAATAAATTTCGACAATTTTACATGAAAATATTCAGGATATGGTTACAACATGTGCTATTTAGGCCTTATAAAAGTGCTAATGGATGTCCTTCAATTCATCTCACGTAAAGGCAACCTTTGGGTCTTCTCTATAATAGAAAATCCTCGAATTTTTTTCCACTATCGCTTTCCGACTTTTACTATTTTGTCTGAATTCCATTAAGGTTTGCACAATTTTGTAGGTGGGTGAAGTTGAATCCTATGTTCTGTTTGTACATGTATTCCAAAGCTTTTCTAGGGCAAATTTATTAAAATATTGTAAATTAAAAAACAATTTATTATTTTATAGAAAATTTGAAACAATTTCCCAATCTGGGGTGATTGTGCCACGTGGAACAGAATTTCGTCAAACGGCTGGCGAAAGTAGTAATTTTTGAATTGTTTAATACCTATTTCGCCAGAAAAAGAACGAAATAAGACTTCTTAGAGCGGTTAAATTAAAACCGCTCTCATAGGTCTATTTAAGAGAGCGGTTCCTCATAACTCATTTAAGAGAGTGGTTCAAATGAACTGCTCTCATAAGTCCATTTAAGAGAGCGGTTGCCTCTGAACCGCTCTCATAAGTCCATTTAAGAGAGTGGTTGCTTCTGAACCACTCTCATAAGTCAATTTTAGAGAGCGGTTCTGCTCTAACCGCTCTCATAAGTGCATATTAGAGAGCGGTTCTGCTGGAACCGCTCTCTTAGATTTAAAATGGACGGCTAGGGGGGCTTTTGATACACGTGGCAACATCTAAGATAATTCGCACTGTTACTGGCGAAAGCTCATTTCGCACTGCGGCTGGCGAAACCGCTTTTGACCGTCGTCCTCCTTCCTTTCCATTTACATGTTCTCCGTCTCTGCTCCTCTTTCGTCGTCCATTTTCTCCGTCTCTCCTCCTCCTCTATCATCGTCGAAGTTTCAAAATTTGTTTTGATTTGCTGTGAAGGATCAAATACTGCTACGATTGTAAGAGGTATGGAACTATAACAACATGCATTTATATATTATGTTTAATTTGATTTTGTTAATTAGAAAATCTGATAATAATATTGTAATATTTTTAAACTCTACGTATGTAAGTGATTTGGTAATTAAGTGGGAGTTAGTGAAGAATATGCTGAAAGTTTATTAAAGATTAGTAAAAAAGAATTTAAAATTTAAATAATTATTTATTTATTTATATATAGATTAATATGTTTTTAGAAAAAATGAAATGTGATATAGTTAATTAAAATATAAAATTATAATTAATTGTTAAGAAGGTAGGTTAAATTAAGATTTATAAAATTTGTTTACAGGAATTATTATAGATATTTATTAAAATACAGAATAATAAAAATTGAGTTAAATAAAATAAATATATAAAACTAAATATAATAATTTATACTTAGTTTGATTGTAATAAATAATTTTTACACTTATATTGAAGTAAAATTTTAAAATTGTATTTATATAAAATTTATGTATTATTAATATGTTAGTAAAATATAAATTATTATTATTATTATTATTATTGAATGAAATTTTTTGACTAATATTTTTTTTTTTTGTATAGATGGCATCATCTTCACAACAAAGTAGGGTTATTAATCCTGGGCCAGAAGATCCATCACTTCTTCAGTTTCAGAGTATTCATGTTTCTGAGCATATTTGGGATGGACGTGATCACCCGACATTGAGAGTTAGGAAGAGTCCAAATATTCCCGGTGGATTAGAAGGTATTCCGGAAGAAATTATTCCACATCTGGAATTAGCGGGTTTTGTTGGAGTGGCTAACTTGTCTAAGCTTCCTGTAGACGTGGGATTGATTACTGTATTAGTAGAGAGGTGGAGGCCCGAGACGCACACCTTCCACATGCCCCCTGGAGAGTGTACTATTACCCTTCAGGATGTTGCTATTATATTAGGATTACGCATAGATGAGACACCTGTTATAGCACCCACTGGGGGTGATTGGGCTCAGATTGTGGAAGACAGCCTAGGTATGAGACCAGGATCAGAGGCTTTTGTAGGGAGTTTCTTGAAGATGAGCTGGTTGGACGAACACTTCACTCATATTGCCATGCATAATCAGACTCCACTGCAGATCACTCAGTTTGCTAGGGCATATATATTGAGGCTTATTGGAGGGTTCATGCTTCCTGATCACTCTAGCAGTAGGGTATCTGTGAGGTACTTGTCTTTGCTTGAAGATTTTGAGTTGACCGGTCAATATAGTTGGGGTTCTGCAGTTCTAGGTTATTTGTACCGAGAGCTATGCATGGCCACCAACATTGATCGTGTTGCTATTGGAGGACTGACTGCGTTAATTGTGATATGGGCTTGGGATAGATTTCCCTAGATAGCACCTATCAATCCTCCCTATAGTCGTCCTTATCTTCCGTACGGTGTTAGGTAAGTTGGTATTGTTATTGCTAGCACTACGCATTTGTAGGTGTTCTATACTGTTATTTGTTTGACTTCATATTTTTATGGTCAATTACTTGCAGATGGTTATCCCACGGTATCAGAAGGGGAAAGAAAGATGTCCACTACTACAGATATATTTTTGATCGTCTAGCACGTGATGAGGTATTATAGCCAACTTTTGCTGAGTTACTTATTTAAATAACATGTTAATTACGTAATTTTTGTTATTAATCTGTTTTGTGTGTCATCATACAGATTGTGTGGGTGCCATACAATATGGAACTCATCAATATATTACCACCTATTTGTAGAGATGCTATGGACTTATGGAGGGCAGTGGTGCTTGAAGGTAAGTTTGTCAGCCATTCCTTCCCTTCCCAAACCCTATTTGATAGATCGTGTGGCTATTCATTATTTCTATGGCTGTAGGATGTATCAGGCACTTCTGGCAGCAGGAGATGATAGATCTGCTCACTTTATACTTAAGAAAATCCCACGAGATGATGCCGAGGTTTGTTCTGTCATCATGGCATGTCAAGAAACTTATGAGAGTGCTCATTCTGCAGTAGGGAAGAAGAAAAACAAAGGGAAGCAGAAAGAAAAGAGTGACACTTGAATACAAACTCCATTGGTGTCTACTAATTTTTGTTTATAAATCTGCTTCACAAAGGGTGATAGTGCATCTGATATAATGTATCCATCTTATGCTCACTTGGATATGCAGCCTACAATGGCGCTGCTACGCGGTTTACCTTTCTCCCAAGTCCCAACTGTCATTGTTTCATTGTAGTGTAATTTGATTATCATTTAAGAAGTTTTGGGTTCTAATGTTGTGGGTTTTCAAGCCTTTCGTTTTCTAGCTTGAAAAGTTGATTATTTATTGTTTGTTAAGACTGGCACCTGCCACCATAGCCTCCAAATGCCATATACATTCCCCTTGGTCTATGCACTCCATGTTAATTTAGTGTCTTTGCTTCAATTTATCTAAAGTTACTTATATGAGTTTGAAAAATGGGTGCAATTCAAGTCCAAAAATTGCTACACAGAACGCAAATGTTTAGTGCTGTCAAACGTATATTTATTCTTCAGCAAGTTGTAATTTTTTTTGAAGACCCGGGAGTTCTAAAACTTTCGACGATAAATTTACTATTCATGGATGCATCTTATGTTAAGGTTAATATGGATTTTAAGGATAATATATGCCATATGATGTTTTTGAAAAATTTATAAAAATATAAAGTTCAAAAATCGTCAAATTTTAGTGCAGGTATAGATTCAAAGATGGAATAGTTTGAAAAATTATCAATGATGCTTTTTTAAAGTATAATAAAAATTTTAAAATATCAAAAAATGTTATTGGTGATTTTTAAAATTTTTACCTATTTTTGTAATTTTTTACAAAAAACTATATTTTGGTAATTTTTTTTCTTTTTTCTTATAAAAAATGCTTAAATATGTTTTTGTCCTCATTCTAACAATTTATTTTAATTTTAGTTTTCATTTTTTAATAAATTTTTATTTTTTAGTCCATTAAACAAAAAATTAACTTATGACATCTCAATTGATCAAATGAACGTTGAAGACTAGAAACAAAAATTTATTGAAAAATTGCGTACTGTTACCACTTACGTACCTTTCTAATGCAGAGGTTAAATCACTCGAATGACGTTAAAATAGAAAATAATAAGGTGTGTTCATTAATGCTCTGTAAAAGAAGAACGTCGTTGGAACTGCGAACCCAACAAGGAAACAACATGGAAGTGGTGGTAAAGTCAGAATATTCGGAAGCTGCCAAGAAACTACAAAGTAAGTGCTTCTTTCTACATTAGACTTTGATTCATTCATTCAACCCACTTCATCAACTCTCAAACCACAAAGACTTAAGTCATCTTATATTTCTTCACAGTACACACGCCTTCTTTGATACACACACAAACACCTGTCCTTGTTCTGCAATGGCTTCCAACTCTATCATCCCATACACTTCTTCTTCTTCATCATCTCATACTTATGAAGTTTTCGTGAGCTTCAGAGGTGACATTCGCAACAACTTTGCTGACCATCTTTTTGGTGGTCTTGGTAGAAAAGGCATTCGTTTCTTCAGGGATGACTCAAAGCTTGAGAAAGGGAAACTTATATTACCTGAACTCCTGCAAGCGATTGATGGGTCTCACATTTTGGTTGTTGTCTTCTCAGAGGAGTATGCTTCCTCAAAATGGTGCTTGCGAGAACTTGAAAGGATTGCCGATTACGTTGATGACCGAGGCAAGCACGTTCTGCCGGTTTTTTATAGAGTTGATCCATCAGACGTGCGAAAACAGAGTGGGCAATACAAAAAAGCCTTTGATGAATACAAACAAATATTCAAAGAAGATGAAGAGAAGATGGAGGAAGTGCAAAGATGGAGAGAAGCTCTGGCACGAGTGGGCAATCTCTCTGGTTGGCACATTACAAATGAGTAAGTAATTAGTATTCTCTCGTTTCATATTCTATGGATCTGAATTTATTACATACATATTTGTTATATTTTCACTATTCCCTAATCTTTCGGTTTTCTTGAATTTACTATCCCTTAATTTGCAGGTCAGAACATTCAATGATTGAAATTATTGTTAAAGACATACTAACAAAATTGAGTCACAGTATTTCAATTCTTCCAAATCAAGATTTAGTTGGAATGGAATCTCGTGTTGAAGAGATAGAAAAGCTTCTATGTTTGGACTCAATTAATGATGTTGGTGTTGTCGGAATTTGCGGGATGCCTGGAATAGGAAAGACAACTCTTGGTCGTGCTTTATACAAAACAATCTTTCGTCAATATGATTTTCATTGTTATATTGATGATGTAAGCAAAAATTTTCGAGACTTTAGTACATTAGGTCTACTAAAACAGCTACTTCGTCAAATTCTAAATGACCGAAGTCTAGAGATCTACAATGTTTCTGCTGGAACCGATTTGGTACAGAGAAGGCTGCGCCACGCAAGGGCACTTATAATTCTTGACAATGTTGATAATATTGATCAGCTATATCAATTGGCTTTGAAACCTAATCAGCTATGTGCAGGGACTAGAATTATCATTAATTTCTAGTGATGAACATATTTTGAGGGCTTATAAAGTGAATCCTGTTTACCGAGTCCAGCCTTTGACTCGTGACAATGCTATTCAATTGTTTTGCAAATATGCTTTCGAAGATAATTATATTATGAGTGAGTTTGAAGAGTTGAAATATGATGTATTATCATATGCTGATGGCCATCCACTAGCAATTAAAGTGTTGGGCTCATTTTTGTTTGGTCAAGATGTCTCGCAGTGGAGACGTGCATTAGCTATGCTAAGAGAAAGTCCAGATGAAGACGA